CAGAAAAAAAAAAAAGACAATTAAGGCTCCATGAAAGCTAGCTTGGAATTGCTTCCGAAATCAGAATAGAACCCAATGTTCAGAATGTGAATGCTGGCTCTTCTTCCTGGGGGCCTGTCACCCTAATCAGAACGATGGCACAAAGCAAAGCAACAGAAATGGGAACTACAGTGATGTCATGTTGGTTTTCATGGACCATGAAACATAATAGTGGAAAGCTATCAGAAGTGTATGCAGGGGAGTGACAATGTGGTGTGATTGTGTGTGTGTGTGTGTGTGTCTCTGTGTGTGTGTGTGTGTGTCTGTGTTGTGTAGCTTTTGAAACAGAGTCTCACTGTGTAGCTCTGACCAACCTGGGTAGGTTGCCTGTCTCTGACCCCCAGCGCTGGAAATGAAGGTGAGCACCACCCTGCCTGGCTTAAATACTGAAATATATATATACTACATCACAGAGCTGAAGAGATGGCTGAGCAGTAAAGAGAAGTCACATGGCAGCACATAGACAACTGTTAACTTCAGTTCCAGGGATCAGACACCATCTTCTACTCTCCCTGGGCTTCAGGCACTCATGTGATGCATTTACTTCCGTCTCAGTGTGTCTAAATCTAGGACCATGTCTATAATCAACTTGGAGAGGAAAGGGTCTGTTTGACTTCCATATCCCAGGTCCCAGGCCACTGAGAGAGGCCAAGGCATGAACCTGGAGATGGGAACTGAAGCACAGGCAATGGAGGACCACTGCTTACTGTCTCCCCATGATTTGCTCAGCCTGCTTTCTTATAGAACCCATCTGTCCAAGGGTGTACTACCCACCATGCCACCTACCCACAGTAATCACTAATCAATAGTCTTGCTTACAGATAATCAGAAAGAGGCATTTTCTCAACTCCTCAAGTTTCTCTTCCCAAATAACTTTAACTTCTGTCAAGCTGACTTTTCTCAATTCCAAATTTGTTTATCCAACTGCTAGCCATTTTTCCCCTTGGATATCTAACAATCTGAAACATAGCACGTTCAGCCCTGAGACTGTGCCTGCCTACCTGCAGAGCCCCTACCTCAGTCATAGCTTCTCTGTGCTTCTAGTTGTTTGGGACAACAGGCTGTTCTCCCTTTACTCCTGGTGCCATACTTTCTCTCACTCACTGCATATGACCCACTGGAAAATCTCCCACCTTTAAGATATAAACAGGCAAATGGAAGACTGAAAAGAATGAGAAACAGGAGGCACTGAAGGGACTCTCTAGCCAACCCAAGCATGGCAAACATGGCTCTGGCAGGCCTTGATCTTCTCTCCCATTCCCCCGCCTTGCTAAAAACTGTTATTACATTCCTAAAGCCAGACCCCCAAGGTCTATTCCCTTATTTGGCCACTTCTTCCTCCTGAGACTAATTTCCAAGGATGAGTTATCAAAGCATTGAAGTCCAGCAATCAAAAGCCTCCTTTGGCTAACCTAATTAACATGCCCAATTAAAATCAAATGTCACATCCTAACATGGGTTTTCCCCTTGTACCTTTATAAAGCGCCATTTTCCTATGTGCCACATCTGTCTCCTATCCAGAGGCAGTCCTTTGGTGCCCCACTCCCATCCCTGCCCCATGATAAAAACCCTTTACCCTTGTCCTTTGTTCCCCTCCCTTTCACCCTCATCTATCTATCTTTGTCTTTTATTCCCTTGCCCCTTGTCCCTCTGGACAAATAAATCTTTGTGCTGAGAACTTGGTCTAGGGATGTCCTGAGCAATATCCAGTCCCTTCAGGATCCAATATTATAAGCTAGATATATACGATGGTCACTATGCACAGATGTCCTTGGGACCAAAGGGTCCCATTTGGAAATAAGTGTGATGGTTAACTTTTATTTGTCAACTAGACACAATGTTGAATCACCGGAAATGGGGTCACAACAAGGGACTATCTGGATCAGGTTGGCCTGTGGGTATGTCCATGGAATGTCTTGACTACATTGAGGTTGGAAGATCTGCCCACTCTGGGTGGTGCCATTCCCTGGATAGAGTACCCTGGACTATACAGTGCTAGCATCATGCACTGACTCAGGGCTCTCTGCTCTTAACTGCAGATGTGACATGTCTGTTTGTTGCTTCAAGTTCCTGCTGCCTTGGCTTCCTATAGTGATAGACTATAACCTGGAAACGTGAGCCCAATAAACCTTTACTTTCTCATGCTGATTTGTCAGGGTTTTTACCATGGTGTGGGGAAAGGACATGAAGACAGTGAATAAGGGGTGGGAGGACTTACCTGGACAAGTTCCAGGGTCATGGAAATTCCCCCCACATTCTTTTCCTTCCTTACCTTCCCCCCACCCCCCGAAGAAAACTAGAACAAGGAGAGATTTGTGTGTCATAGCTTGGGAAAAAGGTCCTTGAACCTTGAAGATAATGACTTAATTCTCAGTCTCTTTTTGGGCCATCAAAATTGCAAATCAATTTATTCATTCCATGTCAAGTAATACACAAGTTCCTCAGAGGCTTTCTAGAAGTCCTCTCTGCCATCCTGCTTCTTACTACACCATCATTCTTTGACCATCTCAGCCTCTAGGTAGTAGTTTTCCACATTAGATTTTATCATGTTTAACTTTCTATGTCTTTGGGCAAATTCCATTATCTCCTTAGGTCTGTAGCACATGGGAAAAAGAATCTCCAAGAGATCAAAAGGCAAATATTCCACTGGTCACGTATATAAAATTACTACCTTTATATCTACTCTCTAAAGCTAAATCCAAAACCTGATAAGCCATCAAAATGGCCCAGTGGGTAAAGGCACCTGCATGAGCCTATTTCATGGCTACAATACTACACTATATCTTTATAAGGGATCACTGGGAAAACTGAGTAAAGGGCATACAAAATGTCCTATAGTCTATCTTTTTATAAGATGGCATCTTGCTACAGACATGACCAGCTTCTCTAGATTATTTCTTGTGTATGTGAAGCTACAGTTACCTCTAAAAACATTTAATTATTTGGGAAAGGTGATTTAACATTTCTATAGATTTCAAAGCTATCCTATGCTGCTACATATCTTCTCTCCTTCCTGTGAAATAAAACAGATGTCAGATTACTTTAAAAGTAGCAACCAATACCAGAAGGTGGCACTGTTATCACATGAACATACAACAGTAAGTTATTCCTTTTAATGTCAGTACAGTGAACCCCTGGGATTTCATCAATTAACAATTATAAACAGTAACCAGTTCAGCAATATTTTTCAGTTCAAGTCATTTAAACATTTTTACTTTTATCATGTCTGTGTACATGTATATGGGTGTAAATGCACACACTTAAATACTTATGGAAGACAGAGGACTTCAGGAGTAGCAGAGAGCTTATATCTGATCCAAAGGCAATGGGGTTGGGGGGGAGAGGAAGATGGACATAGTGTGGGCTTTTAAGACCTCAAAGCCCACCTCCAGTGACAGAACTCCTCCAACAAGGCCATACCTCCTTAACTTTTCAGTTCACCAACTGTAGACTAAGCATGCAAATATAAGAGCCTAGGAGGCATTCTCATTCAAACCACAGAGGGGGCCAGATTTCCTGGAGAGGGAGTTACAGGTGGATGTTGGGAACTGAACTCAGGTCCTCTGCAAGAGCAGTCCATACTCCTCTTAACTGCTGAGATCTCCAGCCACCACCCACCCCCAAGCAATGTAATATAATAAATATAAAATATTTAGTTCTGTGGATAGTGAATTTCAGTCATTTCTCACCTATTTCCTTTTCATTATCCTCCTATCACCTTCGCACTTCTGCTGAAAGCTGTTTATAACCCTTTTTACTTTCATGACTTGTGACCCACTGAGTTTAACTACACACAGGCTGCTTGCATGTGTATTGGTGGGATGACGTTTACTGGATCATAATCAATTTTTTCAGTGGGTATACCACTGAAGACACACACACCAGCTACTATTAACTGGTAACAATCCTTCAGAGAAAGCTGGGCCTCATGAGCTCCTCTCCCACCCACAATGAACTGTTGACAGGGCCTAATCATGTGCTGCATATCGGAGGTGAAGGTCAGGAAGACGGGGGGGA